CTGACTATATAAATGCAGGATGATTCATAACTATCTTACGAAACGATCTTAGGAGAGAGTTCTTTATTTAATTCTGAGACGCAAATCTCTCTCTCTCTCTCTCTCTCTCTCTCTCTCGCTCTGTCTGAGAAAATATCGAGTGTGCAACATTTGCATCTTTTAATCATTAAAAATGTATATTACTGTCGTATAACAACAAGATTTTAAATTTATTAAAAATTCAAAACCATTTAAAATTAAATAAAAAAAATACACAATCTTATTATTTAATTGTATTCTTATATTTTAATTCACAACAAAATCTTTATCTTCAATCGTCTTAACTTGAAATTATTTTTATGCAACTCATCGTTTTTGTACAAAAAATTTTCGTCTCAGATTTAAACTTAAATAAATACTTTATATGTGTTATTTGCAAGAAATTTTGTACAACGAATAAATTTTTAATTTAACGGACAATATCTCTCTTGTTTCCACAAACTCAGTATTCAATTTAAAAATACTTTCACTTGTGAAGGCTTTAAGCCAGAAGATAAACGTGTATTGAAACAAAGTTTCGAGATAAAGAATGGCAAATATCTGGCGAATCGTACGATTCTTGGGAAAAAATTAACGATGTTTAATTAACGTGGTATTGTTAGAACTGTCTTGCGCGCGACAGTTATCTCGCAAATTCTCGCGGAGTCACGAAGTGGCCGTCACGCAATCGTACGGCGACAAGGAACTCGTCGCAGGATCACGTATCCTTCAGCGCGATCGGGATGTATCACGCGTTTAGCGGATGCATTCCATGAGAAAACGAGCGAACGCGCTCTCGATAACCAATGGAACGCGACACCGCCGGTCGGGAATCGCGCGAATTGTTCTTCCGAACTCGCGAATTGTGCCGCAAGCAGCGCGGATATGTGTGTATACATATATGTGTGTGTGTGTGTGTGTGTGTGTGTGTGTGTGTGTGTGTGTGTGTGTGTGTGTGTGCGCGTGCGCGCACGCTGCACATATGCGTGTATACGTACAGCCGCGCGTGGCCGCGAGCAATCGTCGAAATTGGATCGCCGCTGGTTCTCGCGATTTACAATTTCGCCGAGTCGACAGGCACGTCTCCGCAGTTCGACAACAACTCGGAACTTGCGCCGGGCGCGAGAAAGGGCTGAATCGGCGACCGGCCGGCGCCCGCATTAATTGAACCCTTTATTTCCGAAATTGGATTTGATAGCCGCGGGCGCGAATCTTAGGAACGCGCGAACGTCCGAATTGCGTTAATCCGTCGTAATTTATAATGGCACGTTATTTCTGGCGCAAATTCACACGTGAGTCGGACGTCAAGAGCATTAAAAATATCAGATCGTCAACTCATATTTTATATAAAAATTAAATATAAATATCATATATAAATTAAATAAAGTATTAAAAAATCTTATAAATATATAGTAGGTATATAATATTAATATATGTATATTTTATTTTATCTGGTTTCTCTATTCTATTAAAAAAGGGTTATTTGAGATTTAATTACAAAATACTTCACGTTTAAGATAAATTGTAGCGAATGGAACGCTTGCCAAAATATTTTCTGAGCAACAATTGACCGCAAGTTCTCAAAGTATATGACTCAAAATTGTGGTATTTTCCATGTGATATATGTGTATTTTCCAAGACACCTTGTATATGAACGACTCATTGAAACGTGTCCAATGATGACAACGACGATTAGCTGTTGCTCTTCCGCACCGGTGCATCTCCGCGCCAAGTCTATTAAATTCGAAAGTCTATTAATTTCGAAAGCGGATGTCAGATAAGGGTGCAAAACAATGGTGAACGTCGCCAGTGGCGATTTTTCATTTCAGTGGGGGAGTCATTATCTCCGAGAAAATCTACGATTAGATAAAAGCACTGATATAATAAACGAGCAATAATTATCGATAATGAGGTGATCATTGAATCACGATCACGGAATTAATCAACGAACGAGTAATGCAGGCGGTGATTAATTCCTGCATGTAAAAGCGATTCTGATTTGTAAGAATTCTTAGTCTCAAGTAAAAATCTATAATAATGATACACATTTCGCGAGTATTTCGAAAATTCACGCGCGAGTCTACAAACTAATATATCTCAGCGAGGGTTCAATTTTCATCTATTAAATAATTAAATTATAAAGTTATTTAATTTTGAGTAGACAGCCGCGAAAAGATATCCAGACATTTGTTATGCAACTTCAGACGAAAGAAATATAGATGAGATATTGCTGTATTGACCTTCCATACTGTTCGAATCGATTTCATCGAATATTCCGTAGATATGTCTTTATTTCAAAATTGCCATTTTTAAATAAATACATATGTGCAGAAAAAATGAAATTTATATACCTGGTTAAAATTGAAATATATGAGCGCCCAATCTGATCACGTGTCAGAAAAGAGCGAGACTTGTAAGTAAGTGCAACTGGTTTGCACCTCGAGAAAAAGATCTTTCATACACGATCGAGGTGATAAGTTTGATAAGGGAAAGTCACGAGAGAGCACGCCCAGCTAGTGTTTCGCTTCGCGGAATAGGTGGGTAAATATGCACACACGCGGCCGTCGCGTGAATCACGAAACCGCAAAGAGCATCCCGGGGAAAACAATGCGCTTAACGAGCGACGACTTCTCATCAGATCGCAAGCAAGGCGAATTTGATACGACGAGTGTCGGCGCGTAACACAAAAGAGCTCTGAGCGCTGTGGGCGCTCGTGTTACCGATCTGCGGGTGAGAAAGATAAAAGTTGACATGTCAGACGTTAAAATTGGGTGGCTTTTAAGATTTTACACAAACTATATATATGAGCTACTCGACCCGCAAAATCTGTGAAATAAATAGCATCTTAATTACATTCACAACGAGATAAGATCATCGATGTATTTATCGTCAAATATATTAAATATATGTTTGACGATTAAAGTTATGAAGATTAAAGAGCTACGTTTAGGATCGTCTAGAATGCATTAATCTCACACGATTTGCGTGATTCATTTTTAGATACGTTTTTTTCATATTTATATACGCGGATCGTGCGATTGAACAAACTCGATTCGCCTCGTCGTCGACTCGTTATTTACAGCTGAACGTCAAGACGTCGTTACCGCGTCGAGAAGCGACGTACGACGAGATTCAACGCCAAGGGGAGACATCGGACCGCGACTCGGGGCGGCGGTAACGCGGCTCGGCGACACCGTGTTATACAGGCGTGCGGTATCGCGCTGCGGAGCGGCGGCCGGTTCGAGAGAAAGAGCTGTCAAGCGCACGCCGGCCGCGCCGATCGACCTCGTGCACAGGACGAGAAAACGTACGTGGCGCGCGGACGTCGCCTCACGGGCGGCGGCGGCGGCGACGGCGGCGGCGGCGCCGGCGTTGGCGTCGTCGCTCGTCGGCGTCGGCGTCGAAGTCGACGGCACGCGGCCGCGGCGCGGCCGCTCGCGAGAGGCGCGCATGAATGAAACAAGCGAGCGGACTCTCTTTCTAAAGGAGAGGTACACAGGGGTCAATCAGGGTAATCTCGCGACGGCCAATGACAAAATTAATAATCGTCTTTTCTCTCGGGAACGGGGACAGAAATTGACAGTCGTGCCTCAACGATCCTTACGACGTCCGCTGAACGAATTTTCATTTGTCTTTCGATAGTTTCTAAAAATTCGAACGAACTGTCGCGGCTTAAATATTATTAAAAGACGTTTTCCTGCTGCGTCGTGATTATTTATGTGCATATCTACTAATGTAGATTAACTTCAATCTCGGTTTAACTTACTCGTTATCGTTTTTCTGTTTCTTAGAATTTAAAAAAAGGATGAAACGTAAATCGAGATTAAATCGAGATTACAGATAATTTATATTAAAAATATGCATCAGCATCGCGGTTTTTAATCACACAGCATGCTAAAGGAATTCTGACAAACGCTATGCCACATTTTTCTGTATAATAACAGATGATAAATCGATTCGGTATTCGAAAATTTATTATTCGGAGCATCGTTGAATAGAAAATTCCATTCACAGACAAATTACGCTATGTACCTCACAGAGAGAGAGAGAGAGAAAGATAAAATCTATATTTTATACGTCGTGATTTCGCCAAACCTAATAAAGCTCTTGATACACGCAAATTGTTGTTCAACGATAACCGGGTAACGCTAATGCCAGATTTACACGGCAGCCAGTGGAAGCAGAGGCAAGTCAAGTAGCACGTTATTCACCCACCTGTTCCCTAACCATCCCCGACTACCTTACTACCTGCAGTGACTTTCCTACCTATACCGACCTCGAGCGAAACTGGCGTTCCACCTAAGATTTAAGTCGCCGTAATATGGTGCTTGACGAAGTTACGTCTTTCAAAACAGTGTTCTCGAAACGAACGAAACCTCCGTACGAAGAAAAGAGAGGGGGAGGGTGGGGAGGGAGGCTAACACACCTACATCCTGCCTCTCGATCGAAATAACAGTGAGTAGGCACAACTCTCGCTTGCTATTCGCCACTAAATCTCCCTACCGGGGTTCACACAGCGTTATCGTCCTTCATTAATTTCCACGGGAGGAAAGCGAGACTCGCCACACGGCCGGTCTCTGCTTTTACCGGCTTCGTATATTCCCCGACTAATGCCGGGTTTATACTTCCGCGGATAGTGGGGAGGCAAGTCGAGTGGCAAATTACTCGCTTACCTTCCCCGACAAACGACAAAGCACAGAAGTTTAAGCGAGTATAAGCCGCTGTATCTCTCCCGTGCGTCTCTCTCAACGCCGGGTTTACAATTTTCGCTATTTTTGGAGTAACCTGCTGTGCGCTCCGATCCGTTCCCTCCCCCCCCCTCCCGTTTACCGTCGGTGAAAGAAAAAAAAATGATAGGGCGGATTGGGAGCGCGAGAGAGCGATTTTTATAGCACTCGGCCGGCCGTTCTATCGGCCGCTCCATCCGGCGGCGTCCGGTGCCCTCCTTTTTTTTTTTTTTGCGAAGAAATGACGAAACTCACCGAGTAGAAGCAGCTTGAGTTCCCGCCTGGCATCCCGCTTATCCTTCCGCAGTTGCCGTTCGATTTCCTGATTGATACGTTTCTGTTCCTTCGCCTCTTCCGACAGGCAGCACGCCATGGCTCAGTACAGCAGAATCCTCCTTTAACGGAGGAGGTGATGACGGCGAAGAAGGTGGAGGAGGAAGAAGAAAAGGAGGTGATAAAGAGGCAGGAGTATCGGGGAGGTCGAAGGAGGAGGAAGGGAGAGAGGAGGGTATATGAGCGATTCGCAGTGACAGCGAGCGCTGCTCGCCGACCGGCGGCGACCTTCGTTGCGGCTGCTGCTCCTCTCTGTCTCTTTCTCTTTCTCTCTTTCACGCACGCGGCCGATGATGCGGCGCTCCCGGTTAGGTACGTGGTGTTGTTAGGATTCAAGTCGGCGATCGTCCCGGCAGACGGCGGGAAACCAGGTATTATCTCGCCACCGCGGCGGCGACGACGGCGGCGAACGAGCGACGACGACGACGATGACGCCTCGTCGCCGTCCTCGTGGTCCCCGTCTTCCTTCTCTCTCCGTCTCTCTCGTCCCGGTGGTGCCTCTCTCACTCCTGGCTGCCTCCCACTACCGTTGTTACTACTACTACGGATACCACCGGCGACGGTACCGGCACCACTACCACCACCGGCGGCGGCGACGACGACGACGGCGACGACGGCGACGACGACGACGACGACGACGACGACGACGGCGACGACGACGGCGGCGACGACGACGGCGGCGACGACGACGACGGCGGCGACGACGACGGCGACGACGACGACGACGACGACGACGATGGTCACGTCGACGGCAGCGGCGACGACGACGATGACGGTGGTGTTTCACTCACTCGTGGCAACTCACCACCACCACTGCCACCACCACCACCACCACTGACACTTCCACCGGCACGACGGTCACCACGACGACGGCGACGACGGCGACGGCGACGGCGGCGAATACGACGACGACGGGGGAACGTCCCCGGCGGCGCACCCGTGTTTCCCCCTCAACGACGACGGCGTCTACGCAGCGCCGCTGCTCCTGGCGGGGCTCGACGACGCCAGCGACGCATCAACGCGCGTCTACGCGCACGCACACGAGCCCTCGCGCCGCCTCTGTCGTCCACCGACTACTCGCCTGCTCCGCGCCGTTGTTCGCTCTCCACTCTCCGCTCCGTTCGTTCGTTCGTTCGTACGCTCCTCCGGTCCGTCCGCTTCTGCTTCTTCTTCTTCTTCCCTCACCTTCCCTCGCTGTCTTCCTCTCTCCCGTTACGCCCTCGTATCCGCTCCGCTCCCACTCGTGCTCACGCGCACGCACGTTTCGCCCCGAGTGCGAGTTTGTCGAGGCGCACTACGCGATCTTCCCGTGTGTGCACACGTTTTATATATGTATATATTTCTCCATATATTATATACTTCTCCTCTCTCTCTTTCTCTCTCTGTCTGCGCGCCGTGTATACGCGCTCCTCTCTATTACTCACGCACGCACGCACGTAGCACACATGTAACCACCGGGGCGCGCACGTTTCGGCTTTCCCACGGGCACGACGTCACTGTAACCTCGACGGACGTTCCCTCGCAGAGGGCGAGGTCCGTCTGTCCCTTTCTCGCTCGCTCCTTTCTTCCCTCCGTCTCTCTCTTTCTCTAGGCGGCACTTCTTCACTCCCTCTTCGCACTTCCTCTCTCTCTCTCTCTCTCTCTTTCTCTCTTTGGTTATTATCCGTGTCGCTGTTCTTATTCCGGCGCGCGGATGGAGCACTCGGCGCGCTTCGCGGAGCCACCCGGTGACACTACCCGGATGACCGGAGTCCTGGGTGGTCGGCGCGAGTTCACCCGCGTAGTACTACACGCACGGCGCGGCCAGAGAGAGCTCTCGAGAGAGCGGCGTAGCGGCGACGTTCGGCTCCCCGGCTCGCGCGGTGTTGGGTGTGGTAACCCACCGGCGCTCCGTCTCTCCCTCCTCCCTTCTCTCTCTCTCTCTCTCACACTCGTGCACACTCCTCGCACGTTCTCACTCGCTCACGCTCTCTCTGTCTCTTCTTTCTCTCCCTCTCGCTCGCTCGCTCGCTCCCTCTGTCTCGCTCGCGTGGACCCGCTTTTCTCTCTATCGCGCTCTCCTCTTCGTGGCACACGCGAAAAGCTGTCGCTACTGTTGCCGCCGCCGCTGCTGCTGCTGATGAAGATGGTGATGATGATGATGGTGGTACTGCTGTTGCTGCTCCGACGCACCGAATGACACGGGTACACGACACGAGGATATCACGAGACGTGCGCGGCATACGACGATGCGCGTGGTCACGTTAACGACGACGACGACGATGACGACGGTGACGGTGACGACGTGTCGGATCGCCACGAGAGAAAGAGAGAGAGAGAGAGGGTTCAACGCGAAACTTGGTCCTCTCCGTCGTCTCTCCCTCTTCACCTATCTATCACTCTTTCTCTGTCTGTATTACGGCTGCTGCTGCTCCTGCTGTTGACGGCTGCTGCTGCTGCTGCTGCTGCTGTTTGCTGGTGGTGCTGCTGCTGCTGCACGAGCGCGCCCACACCTCTCGAGCGGAGCAACTCCTTGCGACACGCGCCGCGCCCGTCCGGCGCGCAGCTTTTATGAAGCGTCGCGCGAGCCGCGAATCCTGTTAGACCAAACCAGATTGGCGAAGCCCCGCGACACGGCACCCACGGCCAGCTCTCGGTTCGCTCGTGGCTGGCTGCCTGCGTATCACCAGCACCGTGTAGGGCGCGGGGGGCGCGCACGTGTCCGCTAATAAGATTAAAATCGGCGAGTAGGAGGAGGCGCGGCCGCCACCCGCCGGGGAGGAGGCACGGAGAACGTAACGGCGCGCCGCGGCGCTGCCGGCGCCGCCGGTCACCGCGCGCCCCGTCTTACCGACGTCTGCGTCGCCGCGCCGCGCCGGCCGACGGAGAGGAAAAACACTGTCCGCTTTGAAAGCCGAGAGGAAAGGAGTGTCCGCGATTCTACACGATGCGCGATGCTAAAAATGCGAAATCAATCTAATGAGCAAATAAACGGAATATACGATCCTAAATGCCATTGGATTTTTTAAAATGACGATTTGTCGAGTTTCTTATAAAAATTAAAAATAAAAGAGCAATTCTTGAATTTCTATTATTTTGCTGCCTTATTGTTACTTATCTATCTAATTTTATCCTTTCGTCTTCATCTACTATATAAATTCTTTCGACGACTTTCTCTTGCTTTTTCTTTTTGTTTTCATCGCTAATTGAAATTGAACTCCGTAAGATATTACATATATATCTATCGTAGGATTCTTAGACCGACCGGTCGCCCCACTGACTCCGCTTCAACCTTCGATCCAATTTTTTACACAAATAAGAAGCCGCGATGCTGAAAGAAACGTACTGTTAGTTACACTAACGAACTTTGTTAACTCAGCATTTGAACTAAATACCATTCTGTTGAAGAGTGAAATCTAAATTAAATCGAATTATTTACAAGTTTGAAACAAACATATAACATACCGCGTCCCACCGCAGATGTTCCCTATATTTCACTGTGTGCGTCGTTTCTCTATGAATCAGTAAAACCGCATGTCACAAAACTATTTCCATTGTTTTGACAAGAGGATTAACATGTGAGGCTTCACGAAGCCCATAGTATCGGCAGATTTCTGGAATACAAATACGAATACCCTTAATAAATCGGAGTTCTAAAAAAAGTCCATTCTTCAGGAATGTCGCGCTCGCGATCATTTCTTATTCATACGAATCAATTAAAAATTTTTTTATTTTGCTACATTTTTTTAACATGATATGAAAACTTTGTAAAAATAAAAGTGAAGAAACTCGTAGTAATCGATACATGATAATTTCGCCTTTTGACGTGGGTAATAATTAAATATTTAAAAAAAAACTAGAAAATACTAGATAGAAAGAAATGATCATTTACGCGCCGCCCATTATAATGAATCTTTATTTCCATTGTAGACAATTTTTTAACCTTTATTTTTTGCCTTATTTATCTATTTTTGTCATCCTAACTGCGTTATATATTAGTATATAAAATATTAATCCTTAAATGGCACACATGAATCATTCATGTCCATATATCGTAATTTTTAATATTTTAAGTTTCTAAAAAGAAATCTTTTTAACGTAAATAATATAAATTATTTTTTTTTCCAAGTGGGGAACAGCAAAATTTAAATTACCATTCTTCAAGCATTGAAGGAAAAATTACGAACGGACACGGTGTGACTCATATGTGCTCTTAGAAGCTTTTTGACAAAATAAATATTTCCTTTTCGCTAAATTCCTGCTTATTATGCATATTTATAAGTCTATTTGTCAATCTGTATGTTAAAAAAGATTTGTTTGTGTCTACAGTACGATAGTTAATGAGATTAATGACATAAAAAATACTTTTTATTTTATACTATCAAATTGTTAATATTTCATTATTTATCCATTTTATGTACTTTTATAATTTGATAACAAAATAAAAATCAATTTTTTCCGAGATTTTTGAACATTTTAATTATCAAAACCCAAGACGTATCTATCATATATATTGTATATATATATATATATATATATATATATATATATATATATCTATAAGTCCTCTGCATTTGCACGAGATGATAGAAAAGTATATACATTGGATACAAGAACGAAGTGCTATCTTTTCACTTTTCAGTACATCGCATATCTAAGCAATTTGTCAAGTCTACTCGAAATAGTAATGTCAGTAATATATCGACATTTTTAATTTTATTTAGACGAGGTTACTTTCACTTCAAAATTGGTCATTACACTCATTACTTCAATATCCTCAATATATGAACGACAGGAAACAGACATTTTTTCTCTCTTTCTCTCTCTTTCTTTCTTTCCTTTTTAACTTTCGTATAATTTATTGTTTTGTAGACACACAATAAATAACGCACTTGTGTGTTGGTAAAAAAATATTTAGTGCATAATTAGCGAAAGGAATTTTTCGTCATATCCGTTGTTCTTAATATTTAAATGCAGTATCTTCTCCACTTGATGAATAATTCGATGAAGTATAATCAATGTAGTTATTATTGCACATATAACGTAAATTACGAGCTCGAAAGGATTAGTTCAAATTTACTCGAGATATTGATACTCATTTTGATACAAATTTGCATAGATTTGCTTTCTTTTTCTTTTTTAAAATATTACAGTATAGTTTTTTCAGGAAGAAAATCTAAGAAACCAAGAGAACTTGTTAATAACTTTTGTTAAGTTAATCAACTAATTGCGCAACAATAAGTCAATCCTCGAAATAGGCAGCCTTTCTTACAAGGGCACTTGAACTTTTCCTGTTCTCTTTCACAGTTTTAGATCAGCATGATAAAATAAAAAGACACACAACTCTTGAACAAAGCTGATATTTTTTTTCTTAATGTTAACGCTGTAAGTATGTACGTATGTATATATATATTATTATTACAACACTATTTATTATACAAGATGCGAATACAAGATTGTTTCGGCAGATCTAACGAGTATTGACCGAGTCTACAAAAGTTTCGGGGTTGGATCGTTACGTATTCGTATTTTCTATCCTGACAACATGAATAGATACGGGAGCGATAATAATAATAGCAATGTATAATAACAATAGTAATAAAATAATATAATAATAAACGCTCTCTCGTCGCTACCCGATTTTTTTTTCTACATACATGTACAATAAAGATCTGCGGATACAAGTGAATAAAACCAGCGCAAAATAAAATTCGACGAATAGACTTCCCTGACGAAATTCGCGGTGCTCCAAAAGGCGGAGAAACAAGAAAAAGAAACTATCAATCATAAATACATAAAAGCTATACTCTCATCTCATTTATACATCGTAACAGAATATTCATTTCTCTCACGTATAACCTTCTTTTTTCGATATCTATTATTACGTCGTTGAAAAATTTGGCATGCGAATCGTGGCGAGATTTCAATAGGAGCTATCGCTAGATTCTCGAACCGTAGGCGAGTAAATAGTGTAGAACCTTACCTTACGAATGCAGACAGGTAATTGGACCTTGAAAATTTCACGACCGCCCCTCCCCCGCTGAGTAGGGGGGGAGAGAGGGTTTCTCAAGTGGCGCGCGTGCGTTTCTTAAACTTCGAAGATCGTCCCTTAGCAATAATTTTTCTGGTGGCCACAAAGTTAGTCTCGTAAAATACTCTTAAATCGTATAGATCTATGTACAATTTCATAAAATAATATTAATTTAATATATAGCTTTCGTTTTTTTTTATATTATATAATATTGCATATCGTTGTGTATAATCGCGTGTGTACGTGTGGCGTGTGTGTTTCTTGTCGCGTGTACGTGTTACAATATATTATTTAGTCGCTTAAATATCTTCGTTTGATTATTATTCATTGATGTGTATCCGTACGTTTGATATGAGAGGGTCAATCCCATATGTTTGTTTTTACCTTTTGACGAATATAAGAGTGAATGTTGGCACAGACAGTGGCTGGGTTAAAGGCACTTTGGGGTGATTGATTCTCTCCGCAGTACCCTCCAGCAAAACTATCTTATCGAATTCTCCCCGCTCCCTCCCCCCCCCCCTCTCCCTTTATCTCCACCCGCAGCCCGTCGCCTGCTCTTTCCTCTTCTGCTCTCTCTCCGTTTGCGCTCTTACCTACATGCGTGTCGCGCGTAATATTATTCTCGCATGACCGCGCGACTCTTATCTCCCCGCTTAATTACGCGACTCTTTTTAACTACTTTGAAGTAAAATACGCTGTCTCTGATGAGCATTGGAGTGTAAATGGCGAATCGAGCACAGCTCTCTCACAGCGGTTTCGTGAAGTTCGCCGGGAACATACCCTTCTCAGTGGTGCCCTCCTTGATACCCATTAACCAGCCTTCCTCCTGCAACGTACAAGACACGGTTGTGTAAGAAGAATACGTTCGAACACGTTAACGAGTGACGCTTACGATATATATTGTAATACACGTCTCGGGTCTCTTATTTATTCGCAGAATTACGAACCTGTTCCTCGGGATCGTCGTACTCCACGACGCGAATAATCTCGCCGACGTCGAACGACAACTCGTCCACGTCCTCGCGGCTGTACTTGTAAGTGGCTTTAACCCTGTACAAAACGCCCGGCGGCAGATTGTCGGTTGTCGCCCCTACAGAGAAATTAGCAGCATTTTCATATTCCGCCTCTAGAACGACCTTGTCCGCCCCGTTAGTCATGGACCTGCCTGCGATTTCGTCCGCATGGAGACTTCGATATTGTAAACCAATTTATGCGCAAAGTTTCATTTCATTCGCCTAACTGCATAATTAACGTTTAACCTCGCAAACTAGGTCAGATTAAACTGCGATCTTGTTTGGGCAAGACCATGCACGAAGGGGCAAAAGTAATGTACTTACTATTGCATTAACAATCATCCCAATACTGCAAATTTACTCTAATATTCGATTAATCGTTACGTTACGCGCAAATTTACTTTGAAATTCGAAACGATCTATTGAGCTCGAACAAATCAATCGACAATTAAAATATCGTTTATTTGTTTTTACGATTCTATTATTCCATTTATTTTAACAAGAATCTTTGTTTACTTAATTATGCAGATATTTTTATAATATTACAAAAGAATGAAGTTAAAAACATCTTTAAGTTATTAAAGATGAAAGTTTGAACATGAAACGATCATTCAAGATCACTTCGCGCGACTTCGATAGAAATCGCCGAGAACGAATAACGTTAGGAAAAGAAAAAGACACATTAAAGTACACGGCAAAGTTTAAGTTTCGCGAGCGGCTTACCGACTGGAATATCGTACAGCTCCTCCACTCGTTTGGAAGGCGCGACTGTGTTCTGATGCGACTCATCCTGGTTATTGAGAGAGTTATCATTGCTGTTAGCGTTGCTATTAGCGTTGCTGTTAGCGTTCCCGTTTATCTGGGTGGTCGGTGACGTGTCTCTGGCAACGGGCGCGGTATCGTCCAAAGCTGAAACACGCGAGAGGAAGCACACTCAAAACTGTAATGCCGAGCCACAACACGGCCTTGTGGTTGCTCAAAGCCTGTCGGGGACGTTTCGCGTCTTGTTTCCACGCGTAGCGAGGACGTCACGTGGCATGCGAGTGTTAGTGTAACATATATACGTATATATAATTAATGCACACGCGCACAAATCCGACTTGAACAAAAATACAGCTATGAAATAATTACCTCCTGAGATATTGTTCTGCGCTGGCTGCGTGTTAATTATTAGGCTGAAATAAAAAATCAGGGTTATTATTAGTATTATATAACTACTACACTTCTTGGAATTTTACATTTTGTACAATTATTACTCGCGTCATATTTTTGACAAACGCTTTTATGCAATAAACGCTTTAATATTATGTTTAATGCGATTGCAAAATGACGGTAATCTCTTGTAATCACTGTCCCCATATGTAATCCCTCTTTACATTAATTAATAATTTCGATTTTACAAAATCGATTTACTTACGACGAGTTCGCGTTAGGCGACTTCGGTGATTGCGGTTCCGTGTTCTTCTTCAGTGTGTAAGATCCTCGCTGACTTTCATTAGCCAATTTATCGACGATTGCTTCTAATTCGGAATATACCTAGGAATAAAAAAAAAGATGTAACAATTACTAATAAAACAAACACTATTAAATTGTAAATGTAAATTCAACTTTTACATTTCAATAAACACAAGTCGAATCAAATTCGCACAAGTCTGTTAGGAATCAAGTAAAACATAAAATTCTATAATATTAAATCTTGAAGATAATCTTGCTTAAAAAATTTTTTTATTTTCCCATTCTTATTATTGATATCTATCACTTTAGGTACCTTGGCACTTTCAGTGTGAAACACTTGCTCCGCGGCGAAGAGCGTTTGTAGATTTGTGACGAGGAAAAGAACGCGCGAGTCGTATAGTGCTGGCAGTTCGTCGTGCAGCTCGGAATTTAGCTGCTCGTATGTACGTTTCGCCTCCTCCAACAGCTCCTTCCCCCGGGACACTTTGAGCTCGTCCCTCTTCTTTGGATTGCATTGCAACGACTGGAAGTTGTGTCTCTGACTGTCATAATCCACTAGTTTACGCCCGCGCTTGTCGACCTTTTTCTGGAAAATCATTGGAAATCCTCGAAATGTAGCAGAGAGCTTGATATATTTTATTACTGATTTCCTAAACTACTCATCAACTCTGATCATGCGTCGTAGATATCGTGCAAAACATCAAGAAAAATTCCCGATTTGTTTTTATCATTATTTTAATAAATTTACCTGTGCCAGTTATTTTTTATTAATTTTATTAGTTTTAAAAGCAAGTAACAAAGTATTAATACTGTTGAAAATCAACGAGAGAAACTTCGTTTTCTGTATAATAGTAAGACATGATGTTAGAAAAATAAAACAAAGATTTAATTTATATATTAATCTAATTGTGACTAATAAAGTTATCTTTTTTTAAAATAAATTAAAAGAGTATTATGAATAAAGAAATCGTTTGGTGCGCAATCATCGCAGGCTGCACGGTAGACGTACCCTCATCTCCGGAAATTGGCTTTGATATGTGTTGAGTGGTACAAGAACCTGGTCCGCGAGTTTGTGAGTGAAATCCTGCCACAGCATGTCAAGATTTTGTGCCTGCACGTACAACAAATCATGTCCGGTCCACTGGCTCTCGTAGATCTCATTCAACGAGTCCATGAGCGTCTTCGAGGCGGCCTGCACCGCTGCAATAAACGAAATACACATGATTCGCCTTCGTTTGCCTCGCCTACTTTTCATTGGCGTTTTTAATTGCCGTCGAGAACAATTTTATTGCCGCTGGCAAAGGTAACAGAGGAAGAAGATTCATCTCAAGTCGGCAAGACGCCGCGCCACGGTAAACGCGGTCGCGTCGGGAGAGACGCGTGTGCTGTTTCGCAAGCCGTACAGAGAGAAACTTTTTCACGCCGATTTTCCATCACGGCGACACGTGTCTTTTTACTTCAGGAATAAAACGCGCGCGACGCGGGTGACTACTTTCCTGACCTACATCTAAACCTCTCCTAGTGCATTCACCTGACGGCGATAAGCCGATTGCTTACAAATTCCTCGCTTCGGCTCGCGCAAAAGTTGCGGAATGGCGTTTTATTGGCACGCGTCGAGTTTCGATGCTCAGTTCGAATTGCAGGAAAAACAAAACGTCACTTTTACATGTATAAACTGATATTTAATTTATATGTTATGACGTTGTGATAATATTTTTCACCAAAAAAGACTTTTAAATTCAGTTATCACGCACATTTGATTTGCGCATTTAATGTATTTTAATTAAATTTAATTCACTTATATCCAAAATATATTGCATTTAAAAACCCAACTGATAAATAAAATAAAACAAAATAAAATAAACAAAGAATAAATAAAATAAATTATTCCACATAAAAAAATATGGACTTTCAGTGAGTCTCGATGAATTCTTGTGAAAAAATTATGGACGTTTCTATAGAGATCTAATCTATAAAATAATTACATTTATCGGCAGATATAATTAAGCAATCTCACGGCATTGTACATGGAGAGAATTTTATTTTAAAATTTACCTTGAAAATCATGTTAATCGTAGGATAACATAGTATTTTTTTAATGTGATTTTCACTATATTTTAGTATACACTACAACAAATTTATTCTAGTGCACAGTAAAATTTGTTGAAATACTATATTGTCCTACGATTAATATGATTTTCAGAGTAAATTTTAAAAGGAAATTCTCTCCGAGTATAAATTAATTTTATTAAGTGCCAATTTTAATAGGCGCACCTAAAGGTAAGCAGCATCGTTCATGTAGCGCAAACGTATCCAAATGATTTGACGTTAGTGCAAATTATGGTATAAGCGAGCTGCCATAAGTCTCAAGTATATGATCGCTTTGTACTCGGTCCAACGAGTCGCGCTCCGCCGCGCCGCCGGCCTCGTTATAACTTCTTTTCCCTCATCTGGAATTTGAACTCGGACGTGGAGCACGCGGTCGATGGAAATCACGAAAATTGTGACGAATCGTCGGCGATCGGATTTGCAACGCGTCACGGGCATGACTTTCGTCATATTTCGCCGTTGCTCGGCGTTTATACGGCGACAGCGGAACTTCATTGTCGCCGGCACCTATACCTACTATCTATACACCGATATACGTTTCGCATGCGGGTACTTTTGTGCGAACAACACGTCGCGTCTCGTCCGCCGAGACGTGATAAAAGGAAAGCTAACAGCCGCTAACGCGGATCCTGCACACACTCCGAGATTAACACCTCCTCCGAGGAAGTCGTCCGCGACCGGGTCGCGACGTTTGCCTAACGGCAATCCAGCGTTCCCGAATTCGTCGTTACCTCATTTTCTCGCATACACTTCCGTCGATTTTTGGCCGCCGGCCTTCGGTCGAAAATTAAAGATTCGCGGTCGATATCCCTGACTGGCAGAGGCTATAAAAAGCATGCGAATAACGAACACGTCGCTGTAGACCATGCAGCCAACCGTGGAAAAGTTGTTTGCGACTAACACAATTCGAGTGGGAGGGATTAAAGATCGTCGCGATGACGTTTTTCTATTGATTTCTGGCGCGTGTTTTTGTCAGTCTCGTGTCAAGACTCACCGTCGAGGTGAAAGAGAGAGAGAGAAACAATAAGCACCGGCTGCATGGGTGTCTCCCAAGCTTATAAAACGCGTAATTCCACTCGCGAAGCGATAGATAGACGTAGAAACTAGAAACCTCATCGAGACCTAAAAAGACTGATTGCATGCGTTGCATGCGAGCATCAGTGCCAACCGCTTCGTAAACTGAATAATAATTTCGATTAATAATTTTCATCTCGATAATCTAAAATTGATAATAAATTGATGCTATATAAATTACAATGTATTTTTGGAACAACATGAACATTACGCGATCGTTTATCGTAATTACGCCATGATTTTTCTTATTATAAATCGCAGCGTTTGAATGCCGTTACAAAATGAAATGCGAGAGGCAAGAATTAATTAATTTTCCACTAAAATTTGGATGGTATACAAAATTGACACGTGGCGTGAAATAATTATCTCGTTATCGTATCCGCGTTACTGGGAAAAGCCAGCCAATTGCCCTTATCAATTTCCGAGACTGCATCTTATCGATTGCACAGCTGACGGCACGCGACGGGCTACCGGCTTATCTGAGATATTCAACAATCGCGACAAGGCCGTGTCGCGCTCAACAATTTCGGGCACGCCGCGCTGCTTGGAGGAACGGCGCGATAGAGACTGCCGGCGTATTACGCGGAGAATAATTCCTTCCGGTAAAGTCTCCTTCTCTCAAAGGTCGTTTTCGCATGTGTACCTCTCTACGGTGCATTACCGAATATACAGGCGATTAAAATATTACGTCAATTCCTCTCGAGGGTAATTCATGCCGGGCGCGGAACCGCCGCGCCGGTCGTTATTCAATGTCTGCGTGTTATTCATCTGTCCGTCATTCATCCGCGAGACGCGAATGGGAGTGTCGACTGACGGACGGCGAAAATCATTTCCCCCTGTTTGTCGATAACAGCCTTCGTTAAGTTAACGGAAATCGACTCCGTGCGCGTGACAAAGGCTTCCAGCAGAAGCCATCAGTCTTTTCGACACTTGTTAGGTGACGGAATTACATTCAATTACATAACTTCGCTGAGGATTCAAAATAATTGTTATGATATTTCTGTGTGGCGCAAAAATTTTATAATCTGTATATTTCTTTTATTGTCAGTATTTATATAATTTTATATATCGTAATGTATAGAGAAAAGAAAAGGAAGAGAGAAAACGATGAAACTGAGACACATAAATTCCCAAGCGAGGTTCGTATCGATAGACGCAATTATTTCAATCCACAAAAAAAAGAGAGGGCAGAGTACAGACTTACAGAGCAAATAGTAATAGAGTAATTCAGTCTTCACGTGAGCTTAGCAACCGGGTCACGGCTATGCAAGATTACGCGAGTATTTTTCTTTTTTGTAGTATCACGTGCATGGGTTTTGCATCTGGGTTTGTTAATTCGAACACGCTGATTCAATAAATACGCAAACAATTTTACATACTCGTATCGCTTACATCTTACATCATCGGATGTTACAATAGAACAAAAAAATTGCTCGGAAGACTCTTCGAGAATTCGTGAAATGGATAAGTATTTTTTTTTTTATATAAATATCTATTTTTTTATATAAATATTTTATATAAATATTTTTATATCTCAATTTTTTCGAAGAAGCCCATATATATTTTAATTTCGCTTTCGAATTAAATTTCAAGAAAAAAAAACGTACGTAATTAATTACAAAATTTATAAAAAAGAAATGTAATCTTCAAACACTCTGTATAAACTGCAGAAGTTATATTTAAGATATTAATAGCTAGCAAGGCTCGCCAGACGAATGGCTATCGTCACTCCTGCTGTGCAGTTGGTAACTACGTAATACGAATTTTTACACCTGCCTAATTGCCGTGAATATGTTGTTAAACATAGGCTTATGTAAAAAAATTCTAACATCTAATCAATACCCGACATATTCGAGACGCTGAATAGATAATTAAACGCCTAATCATTCAAAAGTTAATATATAGCCTTAAGTTAATATATAACCGCGGTGCGATGCACGACACCGTACAGCTATTTGCCGCACACATTCGCGAGGCTCCATAAAAAGTTTCTCTACGGCGAACCGTTAAAATTTATGTAAACTCAAGCTATTCAATTTATACGCACAATATATCGCGTTTTCCGCGTGTAAAACACAGCAAACATTAGCGCGCCCGATAAATAACGACTGCCATTTAGAGGAAAGACGAGTTAGTTTTGCCCCGCGGGACGACTTACCTCGAACACACCTGATGTAATTGTTGAACTCCTTTTGCAGTCTGTTGGCGGAGTTCTGCTGCCTCGTGAAGTTCTGCAGATGCTCGTCGAATATATCGTCCGCGGTTCGATCGACCTTGCCCAGATTCTGAAGAAACTGCAATGAGAAAAGGATTCGATTTTTGAATCATTTATCTTGATTTTACGTGTATCGATTAGAAGTGAACAAAATTAATAATAAAATAATTCATATAAAAATGATAATATATAATAGCAGCAATAATAATAACCGATTGTCTCTATACATGCTACATAAAGAAGACGACGTAACATTTATACAAAAGATTGTAAGTATAATATACATACAAAAGAGCAAAAGCTTTAGACAATGCGAACGAATAACGGTACATGAAGTGAATAAAACGTACTCGTGATTTATTGCATCGCCGCATATTCATATAATCGGAAAGCTTTCTGAGTTGAATGAAGCTCGGATATACGTGTGTGAACTTTTGCGTGAATCTCTTCCCACAAACGTTAGTCCTGCGTAGGTGTGAAGTGTCTATACGTATAAAATATTCAATTTTCCTTCCTCAGACTTTTTAATCCGATCGAAACTCGACTATTAAAAAGCAATTTTTTAATGTAAATGTCTCGCCTTTTTCATCTCGAATATATGCATTTCTAGTGTCGTTTTCGAATGGTGCATTACGTTATTAGATATTCAGACGTTAATGTAATTTTTTCGCGATTGCAATGGCTTAAGTACACTGCCATAAATTAAGTCCCCAAGTTTCAATGTTAAATATTTCAAGAGTTCTCAAGCTTTTGTTAAGGGTTCTTGCTTTAACTAAGAACCTATATATACTTATTCGTCGATATTTATTGAGGAAAAATCCTCTCATTTTGGTTTACGGCAAATAAAATCTCCATACTAGACTACCATTAAACTTCACGAGTACAATCGAATGTACATTTCTCGTGGTTGACTATGACAATGCGGGTAAATGTGTGGCTATCGCAAATGAGGCCTTTGAACCGCGCTCGTCACGATACGATAAACACCGCGCTGCATTATCATCGCATCGTATGGAAGATCGTGTGATAATCGCACGCGGTCTTATATTATACTGTCTGCGCCTGTTATTTAAATTTTAATTAATATTATCGCACGGATGTTACATGCATTAATATAAAAGCGTCAATGTTAAAGAGCATGAAGGGATGTACTCCGGTCTCGAGTGATAAAATATTTCATATCATGAATTTATTTATGAGATGGACGATAACAGGCACATGCTGAACCTTACAAATCTGTTCATGTCTGAAACAAAAACGCGCTAACGATTACAGATAAAATTAATAATAAAAAAAAACAATATTAATCTTGAATGCGCGAAAATGATTCGCATTACTTTCTCTCCCCTGCCAAGTTAATAAAGAAATCTATCAGAGCTGACGTAGTACTCCACTGCCATTGTTATCGGCAATAAGGCGCGACGTTGTGAAAGGATGCGGATGATGTAACAATAGCTATCGACCGCGGAGAAATTTCACGCCGGGAATGCCATACGTCGAGTTCGATTTTCATTTAGCTCCGCTGCTCCGTGGCACCTGTACGATCTTCCGTACGGCGGGAAAGAAATCGTCCCTTCGGGAAATTACCGAAAGGAGATCAGGAAATTCTATTGATCCTAAAATTTCGAATTGACTCATGAAATCTATCGTAAAACGTATAGAAAGAAGAGAGAGATTATATATGTATGTCATATCTCATGTCAAATTAGATTTGTCTAAGATCATATCTTACATGAAGATGCTTTTTACTTCATTTATATTTAAATCTGTTTCAAATTAAATTACTTTATCATTAAATCCAAGAAATTTTTGTCAATTTAAAAAAATAATTAAACATCTACAAGATTAGACCTGCACTTTGCATATTAAGCTCTGAACATCTTCTCTGTCTCTCTTCTTTTAGATAAAGGATAGCTTGATATTTCAAAGATTAGGAATCAGAGTGGAACGCGAAAAAAGATGCTGCCGGCGCCCATGCCGACCATCTCTCTCTTGGGCTAGGCCAGAAATCAAAGGCTGGAACGTCCGTGATGGAAATCGCGAGTCGGCCATTGCGTAACCACCTCTATATCGCCGACTGGCTCCGTTCGCGAAGCCGGTGATCTGTCCGCGGAGGCGAGAGGTACGCCGACCTTCTGCTACTTATATGCATGCAGATCACGCGAGCCGCTCTTCTCTCGTCCCCCGGCCGCCGTTCCGGGGAAACAAGAGAGGTGGAGATTGCGCGTCGCGTTGTATCATCCTGCAGTAATTTCCGTTCTCTCCAGTTTCCCGGAGAATTAATCGCGCCAGTTACACGCGGCGCGACTCTTGTAACGTCAGCGAGCCGGAACGACACACATCGAACTAGTTCACATTCGAGCCTATACGTCTCTTTAACCTTCCCTTCCGTCGTCTGGCGTGACCTCGAACGGGCATTATCGCAAATTTGCAAATTGCAGGTGGTTAACGTACAACGTGCTAAAGTATCGCGCGAGATCTATTTTCGGGACGGGATCAACGAGATAATTAATTAATTTTACCGAATTTTACCAAATTAATTCCCAGCTTGTGAGACGGCTATGTCAGCTTAAATGTCTAATGAGATTAATTTTTCTCTGAGAATGAATATCGATTTCGATCATTGAAGTGTCAATAACCATGGGGGCAATGTTTTCCTTTTCTACTTATCAGTCGACAAGAGAATTGTCATACAATGATGATAGTGACGCAATTCCTAAAAGTGATACGTAAAAAAACATCGATATACGATATGTCAAGTATCATCTTTATCGTACATCCAAGTCTTTACGAATCCAAATGTTTATAAAAAACATTTATATATCACATAGCCATGTCGGTCCATCAGTGGTACAAAAAGAGATGTTGCTATTACGCACGCTGGAGATCACATCGTAGCTGCAACATTAATAATGGAATTCCCACTTTAATTACCTTTATTGTAGAGAGCGGCTAATAAAAGGCGTGTATTGCACGCGTCCGGCATTTCGCCAGCTATCAGAGGCATAAACGTTTAGATTAATTCTTTCAGCCGTCTCTATGGCGTTATTAAAGGCGTTAACCCGCGCAACGATGTTATTTGTCGCCTGATGTGCAGCTTATTCTATAATAATAAGAACGATCATAAAGAAATTGCATTTTGCGTGAGGAGGCAAATATAAAAAGCAGGGCTAGAAAACTGCAGAGCCTGCCAACAATTTTTTATCTTAATTAATAAAGAATAATACAGTGTTAGTACATCATTGTATCGTTTTACTGCAATTATATTTGTAATCAGCGAAATGCGAAACGAAGTTTTAACACGAATTGAATCGCGACAGGTTTATAAGACACGAGTCCGGCCGTTCAAGGGAGTAAGAGATTAATCCTATTAACTCGCTCGTGCACTTTCAGGTCAAGATCATCCTGTCTGCCATATATAATTTTCTCGTCGCAACTTTAAAGGTACTGCTGGTTGCTACGATTTCTATCTCGCTCCATAAAATTAAGATAGCAACGGGGTCTCGCTGTGAAATGAAAAGGATTACACCGCACGTACATCATTCCAAGAAAATTTAACGTAGAAAAGTCGGATTAAACACTGTCGTATCTATCCTGATAAAATCGTCGCGTCGCAGAGCGCTCGAAGGCTACAAGCGTTTAAATTACCGGATGCGTCAAGTAATCTGCAGATATGTATTGTATTTTATATAATATTCAGACAAAGAGAAGAGACTAGAGCAACGTGATATTAAAACGTTCCGTTGTTTTCGATATTTAATACGACCCTTTGTGAATCACTGGTCGCTGCAGAGAGAGAGAGAGAGCGTGGCTCTCATCATCGCGAGATAAGCCTCGGGCGCGAGTCCGCGTATTAGCGTAGCAACAAAAATAGTGTTATCAGAGTGAGTCACGGCGGGTCTCGCGAAGAATTTCGCCCTGCAAGTTGCGGACGCAGCAAAAGCATAAGCAGATATACCACGTCCTATTGGTTATACGGTATACCGGCTGTACCGTTACGCATCGCGATACTTGTTTCGCGAAATATTTGTTTTACGAAAGAACGCGAAACTCGTTTTATTATCGCACAAAGTTATGCATACCTCTGAGATGTGTATGTGTGTACTTAATCACTGTGTGTACTAATCAATATGCTAATTATTTTCCAGTCTAAGTAAAATTATATACATAATGTATTTCTCCCCAGTTGATGGCTTCTCTCTCGCGCGAGGATCATTTAAATCCAGCGAAAATCATACGTCTCGTGTGTGAAGTCGGCCACGACTCTATTATAACCTTCATAAGCCGAGATTAACATGCACACGCAACGACCCTGATTGGCGCGGTATTGATAGACGTTTAAGCATATCGCGTCGTCGACAAGGCCCACTGCGCGACTGTCCGACCGACGTTTTTGCCCTGCAAGAGTCCGAGACACGAGACACGATTTTTGTCACGATTCCGTACGCCTTCATATACCGTTATCCGGTTAACATAGTCCCCGTTCGATACCTTGTAACAGGTGAGAACGAAGACTGAACTCGTTTACACGCGTAGCCGACTTGCATGTATCATTAATACAACGATCGCGTATATACGAGAGAGTTAAGTGCGACGAGAGATGACGGTCTGTCAATTGCGTAACTGTTAAAAAGAAATCTATTAAACTTTGTAAATTTCACAAATTTCATTACTAGTTATATTCTACAAATATCCTAATTAACTTCCATAAGTATTAACGGGTTTCCGTGAACCTTGTTAGTAAGCATTAAAAATTATTATGAAACTCCTCTTAACGATTTCGCCTGATCGGAAGTAACTATCAGCACCCAATTGCGCCGCGACTCTTTTCTTTTTTTTTTTTTCTTTCGAATCGTTATCCCCGACAGCCAATTACTCCGCTGCTTCCGGCGTTTTCCGTATAAATAGGAAAACTTTCTCTCCGCGCGATAGGTAACGCGCCTAACGGGAACACGGAAGATTCCTCGTCGTGACTAGTTCGGCTCTTACGTCGCGCACATCCCCAGAGGATTTACTTAAAATTCTGAGCCGCCTTTCCGGCGCAGCCGCGCGAATTTCTATTCTCGTCCCTCTACTCGA